CAGAGTAGGGAGACAGGGAATGTTGCAAGTCCCCATTCCTAAGGAAGCACATATGGTGGGACCCAGAAGAAGAGCCTTATCTGTGGTGGCTCCCTCCCTTTGGAACATCATCCCTGCCTTCCTAATCTTAGATTGGCCCCCACTTTGACACTCTTTCATAAGGCCCCGAAGACCTGGTTTTGCAAAGGGGAACCCAAAGAGTTCATCAAGTGGCTTGTTTGATTGGTTGTTGTTGTTGAGACAGGAAATTGTATTGTTTGGTATTGTTTGTATATTGGGTTTTTATTTTTGTAAACTGCCCAGAGTTACTAAAGAGCAAGTGGACTGCTATACAAATTTTCTTAGATAAATAAATAAACTGAGACTCTTTCTCCTGGTTAAAGCTCTCTACTTAAAATCCATATCATTTGGTAAAATGGTTCTCTAACAGAGGTGGGTTTTGACCGGTCTAGTTCGAACATACCAGTAGTGATAACTGGGCATCCGTTTGTGTACCGGGCCCCCCGGAGGCCCTGTACTGGTACGGTCCCTCCCCTGGCCTGCCCTCCTGCTCGCTCTCTCGCCCACCCGCCCACCACTCACTCTCTCTCTCTCTTCCCCCCCACCTGTCTGTACCATGCTTGCCCTGCCCACCCACTTCCTTTGCCAGAGCAGAGGACTGTGCTTCTTTCTTTTTGACAGCCACCTTGTTTCCAATGGGAGGGGAGAAATCTATGTGTTAGAGGGAGGAAAGGAAATCCCTAGCAGAAGCTCAATCTTCTCTTCCCTCTAACGCATGGATTTCTCCCCACCCCATTAGAAACAAAGGGGCTGTCAAAGAGAAGGAAGTACAGGCTTCTTCCAACAACTGAGGAAGCAATAGGAGCAGAGACTCGACAGTTGGAAGAAGCCCACTCTTCCTTCACTTTGACAAGCACCTTGCATTACTAGGATTTTGCAAATCACTTCTCAAAAAGAAGGAAGCGGGGGTGGGGGGTGGACTTCTTCAGATGAGCCCAGACTGGATTCTGTTTCAAGGCTGCTCTGACCTGGGCTTGTCTGAAGAAGCCCTCCTCCACCACTTCATTCTCTTTTACAAGAACCTTGCAAAACCAGGACTTTGTAAACCGCTTCTCAAAGAGAAGGAAGTGTGAAGGAAGGACGGGCTTCTTTCAACAGCCGAGGAAGGAACAGGAGCGGAGGATTCGGCTGTTGGATGAAGCCCGCTCTTCCTTCTCTTTGAGAGCTGTCAGTGGCAGACATGAGGGAAATGGTGTGTGTGTGTGTGTGTGTGTGTGTGTGTGTGTGTGTGTGTGTGTGTGTGTATGTGTGTAAGTGTGTGTGTAAGAAAGAGNGTGCTGAATACTCGGACTGTGTTTGTCAATGATTGGATTTCTATTTCTGACTTTCCATAGAGTTTCAAATCATCCATATATAATAATTTTTTTCAGCTTTTTTGGCTGTTTGGTAGCCTAATTTCATTTTTTTTAAGATTACTGATAGTGGGATCATTGTGATGATGAAGAGAAGAGGTGAAAGTGAATCACCCTGGAAAATTCCTCGCTTGATGTTAACCATTCCGTAGCTCCAGAAAAAAGAGGCTATTTAAAGCGAATGTATGAATTATTATTATTATTATTATTATTATTATTATTATTATTATTATTATTATTATTATCATCATTATCATTATCATTATCATCATCATCATTATCATCATCATCATCATCATCTGATTTGTAGGAATTAGATACAAATTCATTTTTATTCATTGTTCAGCTATATAGGGATCCTGCTTACTAATTCATTCCATCATTATAATGCTGTAATTTTCAAAGCCCCGCTGAGACAATTTATTTGCCTGAAGAGCAAAATAAAAGTCCTATATATAAACAGTCAAAACATTGTATGAGAAACTGACTTATCTGGGTGTGCAGATTAATATTTCAACTGAATGTTAAAAATGCATCCATAACATTTGCCAATAGGCAAAGGGTTAATGTTGATAATAGCAGTAAAGGATATCTAGAAAGGAAGGATCATAAGAGGAGAATAGTAAAATGTTTCTCATGTACTTCTCAGATTTATTCAAATTCTTTAAAAGAACAGGGGCTTGAAAAATTATGGACAACTCAGACTTCAGGCCCATAGATATATGACATTGGTTGATAACTTAGCTGTAGAATGGAGTGCCTTATGAGTCCAATGGAAAATAAAAATATTAAACTTGGATTTTTAAAATAAAATTAAGTGGAGTTCAGGCCTGGGTTGCAGAACTGGCAGCGACCCAGGCCTGCCACGCCCCTGGACCGGTTCCCTCACCACCGCTTGACCGCCGCCATTTTGGTTTTAGTGACTGCGCATGCACTGTTCACTGTAAATTATTCTGTGCATGCGTGAAGAACAATTTACATTGAACAGCGCACGCACGCATTATATGTGTCTGGCGTGCACATGAATGAAGCAAGCATGTGTATTGCGAACCAGTAGTAAAACAGGCAGCAACCCACCCCTGGCTGCAGTTCTCTTGACAAGATTTTCACAAATAATTTGCCATTGCTTTCTTCCTATAGTTAAGAAAGAGTTATGCAGATGGGCTCAAAGTCCCTTATATGGTTTTGGGCCTAAAGTAGGACTAGAACTTACAAACAAAATTCATTGTCTTCCAACTTTTAGCTTGCCAACTTAACCACTGTACCAAACCGGCTCTCTAATTGCTTTTATTGTTATAGATTTTCTCTGGGTCAGGTTAACACTGGTGTTCCTGATTCTCTTCCTCATGCCATTCTCATCATGACTTTAAATATAAATAAAGTGATTTCATCTTCTGCAGTGCAGATTTGGTTCACAGGCACAAATTACTGTAGCTTCCTTTTAGTCCAGACAGGAAAAAAGAAATTGCACATTGCTTATCTAAGGTGATTGAAGGAGTTCAAATGGATGTCATTCTTGCCATTCTTTTAATTGGCCATATTGCTTTTTAAGTAAGTGCACATAGCTTGCATTAGAAATCAAGCTAGTATTTGAAGAAATATGGACTTCATAATCTTAGCTGGATGTGCACCCTAATAGGGGGAAAATCCAGTGGTTCTGTTTTTCCTATCCCAAGCAACATTAATATATAATTTAATATTGAATTGCAACTACAGATTTATACAAACATCAAGCTATTTTTCCACCTGCTTTTTTGAGAAAAAAAGAACGCATTTATTAAAGCTTTGCTATCTGTGATAGTTCTTCATCCAAAAATGATGAAAACCACTTCATTTCTCCGTGTAAACAATGGCAAATTCAAATGGAGATTCAGCTGCATTTTCAGTCAATCTGTGGAATGATTCTCAACCACACTCACTGGAAGGAAGGCAGCATAGGTTAATACCATTAATATAGCTTTTCTAAATTTAGTACCTTCAAGTTGTGTTCAGCATCAACTTCTGTAACTCCAAGGCAGTAGTGCTGGAGAATACTTTCAGAAGAAATTGTTTCAAGGAAAATTCTTCCTGAACGACTTTAAGGAATTTGAAGGAAAGGAACATGCAGAAAGCAAAGTAGCCAACTTTTATTTTGCACCTGGACTCCTTAGTATCATAAAATGTTAGAGAGTTCTAGTCCCGCCTTAGCTATTATGACCTTGGGTGACCTTGGTCAGTCACTCTCAACTTAACCCATAACACAGGGCTATTATTATGGGGAAAATAGGAGGTGTGTGGGATATGTTTGCTGTCCTGAATTATTTGTAAAACAATAAAGGCAGGACATAAATACATAAATTCAAGTTGCTAGAACTTGAATTATAGGGATTATTTTTCCTCAGCCCCTTTCTAGAGAGAGTTTGCATTGCCTTGTTATAATAGAAGCCTATAGTTCCAATAGATTAATAATCATGCTTTTCATGTACAAATAAAATTCTCGCCTCCCAAAGTAGAACAGTCTAAATATATATGCTTTTTCATTCAAGAACAGGACACATAATAAAAAACAAGGCTGAAAAGAAGTGAAATCACATCTATAGCTAGATTAAATATTGCAGTTTTCAGTGCAAAGATGAGTACTGTTATTTAAATGGAATACTGGGACTTGTTAAATGTGATTTTTCTTTATCTGAAAGTTTTCTCCGTCTTAAATATAATGCATCTCTGAATATTGATTGTGAGAATAGATGTTCTTTAAGGTATTGTACATGCCTGTTCCAATTTGCTATAAAATTACTACACTATTTATAGCATGAGGCACTTCACAGAATGGTGACGGTAAATCAGAAATTCTCGGAAGGAGGTAAAATCTTCTAGCTGACTTTTTTTTTTTAATGCTGGGAGAAAATTATTTGAACTGCCAGCATTTAGGGAAGAACAAGCAGACAGGAAATTCTATAAAGTAAGGCAGGAATAAAAGAAAAACAGACTATGAAAGCTGTAAAACTGTTGGACCATGGAGCAAGAAAGAAAGGAGGTGAACATTAATAGGAACAATAAAAGTTTGGGGGGTTCAAAGTTTACATACTGATTTTGACAGCAAATCATTATTTATGTTAGATTTTTCAAAACTGCTGTTTGAGGTTTCTTATCAAAATGTCTAAATAACTGGTATTTGCTGAGGATTTCTTTCTTTTCCATCTTTCCATATATAGTAGGAATCCCTTCCCTTCCCTACACCTGCTTTCAACAAATTATTGCATTATATTTTTTAATTTTTAAATCTTCAACCAAAAAAGATAGGTGAAACATAACTGATAGTAGTTCTTTAAAAGATTAGAAAAATGAATAATGGTTAATTTTCCTCTGAATCAAATGCTGCTCAAAATAGTCCCATAACAAAGAGCAAACTAAAAGGAAAACAACCCACAACTATACCTTTTATGTGGGGTTTTTTGCCTCTTCTCTTTAACAGTGTCTGTACCTCCATCATTATTATGTGTTTTGCTCTTTTTCTTTCTGTTTTTTGTTATTAATTGAAAAGCTATTTTTTTTAAAAAAGAATCCACTGACTGGGAAAGTGTTCTGTTTCAGCCGCTGTTAAGGATGGGACTCCATGAATTCATTTTCCCTCTGGAAGAAAGAAAGATGTTGTAGTTCAGAGCTGCTGCATATTCCACCCTAAGAATTTACATGAAATTCTGTGGCACAGTTTCAGAAATCAAAAAGGTAGAACGTAAAACGTTTACGTCTAAATGTTTCATTTTTGTCTCGGCAATTGTTCCAAACTTCCCCATTCTGATATCCACATAAGCCGTTTGTGTTAGATTTCTTGCTCCCCTTCCCTACTAGAATGGTTGATACCTTGAGCTGGTTTAAATCTCAAATTGCCTTTTAGGCAATGGTTTTTTCCCACAGTTATGGTTGCCAGCCCTTTCCCCCCACATCCTCATCACAGATGCAGGGTATTTTATTTCTTCTGGCCATGCTCTTTATAAACTACTCAAATAGGGTGGCCGGAAGAAGAAAGAGCAAGGGCTAATATCTAGTCATAATGTCTGTACTGCCCTGTCATCAGTCAATAAATCTCAAGCCATCAGCACTTAGAATGGGGAAGTGTTCAGGGCTAGAGGATTGTTTCATGAAGTCATGACTTCTTATGCTTTTCAATCTTTTCAAAAAGTTAAATAGCAGTTAGCATTATATACACAGAGAGATTTAAGATGCTGCTTGTCTTTTGACAACCCTATGGGACTTCGTTCATTGATACGAGTAACTCTGGAGAGTATGTACTCTAGAAGGCTCTAGAATGGAATTTGATCTAGTCCCAAGACATGAATGGTGGGGGACTAGGAATTGATTTCCAGAGGGAAAAAATTGCAAACTACAGGAACCAGGAGCATTATTCAGGTGACCCTGAGGACACAGATAAACCTCCAAGTGCTTCAACGACTCTCTAAAAGGATGCAAATGACCATCTGTCTGCAAGGAATGTAAATCCTCCCATTCCCCACTATCTTGTAAGAGCTGAAGAAGCTTCTTGGATGAGAAACGAAATGTCTTCAAAAGAAAAAAAACAAAAGAAACTTCAGTTTCCTCCTGAAAAAGCACCTTTGGGATAACCATGACCTGAATGACTGAGAAGCTCTACAGACTCTTAGGCAATTTCTTCTCTTCCAACATTATTTTAGGGATAATGACTACCTTAAGTCATAAAGCTTGTTCCATAGGGTAAAGACACACATCCATCCATCCATGTATGTCCCTCAGCAGGTAACAGCATATGGCTGATCTGGCCTTGGCTCAGAAGCTAAGCAGAGGCAGGATTGATTAATAGTGGTACTGGGATGAGAAATCCAAAGGGCTTGTATGTATATGTGTGCAGGTATCTGTGTTTGATTATTTATATATATTACCTATGTGCGTTATATTAACACTGTCTATTTCTCTAATTATTTTTTATTTCACCTTGCTTTTTTGCAGGTCATTCTTATGCAATAGGCTAAAAGTAATTTCAATGTGCAGGATGAAAAAATGGCACAGACACTGCTGGTACCACCAGGACCTGACAGTTTCTGCTTTTTTACTAGAGAATCTCTTGCAGCTATTGAAAAACGGTGCACAGAAGAGAAAGCGAAAAGGCCCAAACAAGAACATACGGATAACGATGATGAGAGTGGGCCAAAACCAAATAGTGACTTGGAAGCAGGAAAAACACTTCCCTTTATATATGGCGATATTCCTCCTGGAATGGGGTCCGAACCATTGGAGGACCTGGACCCTTACTATAGCAATAAAAAAGTGAGTTTTAATTCAGATTGGCTGGATTTTTAATAATATTTGCTGGATTTTGCAAAGGTTTTGGGAACACTTGATGTTCTCCGTGTGTATTAACTTAAGCTTGTCTTACTCAATTTGCACTCAGAAAAAAAATGTGAAAAATATTTGCAACATAGCTTTATGGGCATTATCGTGGGCTTCCCATTTTATATTTATTCAGAACTGGCCCTAGGGCTGGAAAAAAAGAAAAGAGAGATCTTGATTAAAAATCACTACAAAAATGAGTTAAATAAATATAAACAACTATAAAAATTTAAAGCAAAGTACAATGATCTAAGTGAAAGTTAATGGTTGGAGGGGATGAAAGAAAGTAGTACACTATAGAACACTTTTTATATGCAGGTAGTCCTTGACTTACAAATTTGTAGTTACAACAGCACTGAAAAAAAGTGACTCATGATCATTTTTCACATTTATCACCATTGCAGCATCCCCATGGCCATGTGATTTACATTCAGATGCTTGTCAACTGACTCACATTTATGACAGTTGCAGTGTCCCAGTGTCATGTGATTCCTTTTTGCGACCTCCTGTCAAGCAAAGTCAATGAGGAAACCAGATTCACTTAACAACCATGTTACTAATTTAACAACTGCAGTGATTCACTTAACAAATTTGGCAAGAAAAGTTGTAAGATGGGGCAAAACTCACTTAACAAATATCTCACTTAGCAACATAAATTTTGGGTTGTAATTTGAGGACTACCTGTAATGCATATATATTTAATTACACTATAGCATCTTGCTTATCTGTTGTTGATCTACTTTTGCACAGTTCCTTTTGCAATAATAAAATATTTTCTTTTTTAAAAAACAAAAACAATAACTATAGGGTCAGCTAAGAATACAGACTCCCAGTATAATAAAACTCATTGATTTTAAGTAGGACCCATAGAGTGAACAGACCTGTCCCAGACCTGCCACTGATAAAACTGAATATCTCTACTTCTTATTGCCAGAATTCATATCCTACAGAGAAACAGAATCTGAAAGAAAGAAATGAAGAGTAAAGCTAGAGAATGGGAATCAAACTTGAAAGAGAAGAGACAGAGGTTTCAAACATAAACCAGATCTGTGAGATCTTGATGTCTCTGAGCTTTGTTGTTTTCTTGAAGACGTTTCATTACCCAACTAGATCACTTCATCAGTGCCAGAAGGGAGTGGGTTTTCTCTCTGTTTATATATACACTAGATCTGTTTTGTTCGTAATAGCTAAACTCATTTCTGTACCTTAACTGATAGTAGTATGGAAGTTGTGGAACAGTGTGACAAGAAGGTTCTATGATAAAGTTGCTTCAACAGCAAGACAGGGGGAAAGCAAGTTATTTTGAAGGACGAACTAGTCAGAGTAAGTGCAGTCTCAATATGTTACTGCAGCAGGTGAAGGTTGCCCATCACAAGTTCATGAGTTCATTGGAGTTGCTGTTCCTCCAGCCACGAAACGTACCATAATACAGTAGACATCTAGCTGTTTGGTCCAAGATGGAATGCCCTTTAAAGTTAATACTAAGAAATATCATTACCCATGGTTCTTGGTAGATATTCCTTAGCTGAGAGATTACAATACTTCCCAGCTGTAGAGTCTACTACTGTGCAGAGTTCCCAGTGACTCAGCCTCCTCCCACAACGATAGCCATTCTGAGTCAGCCTCTGAAAGTTGGTGGTATATGACATTTGAATGGACATTATTATATCATCATAGCCCATTTTTCTTACAGAGATACAATTATGTGTCACTTTACAAGTTTGTAGTTGCGAGTTACAAACCACACAGTTTTCCTTGTGCGTTGCACCATGTTTCGGGTCAAACGTCTCCAATCTGGTACTCTCCAGATCTGCAACGACCAGAATTTCTAGTCAGCATCTGAACAATGATGCATTGGGCAAGCCTGTTCCAGTTCATAGATTTTCTTACTCATACACAATAATAAAAAAGAGATTATTTACTGAATATGAGAATATTTACCTATGCTTCTGGATTCATTAAAGTGTGGTGGTGGTGTTGCGCTGATGGAAAAAAATATGAACTTTATATGATTCTGATCATTTTTATTTATGTGTTAAAATTTGTATGTTGTCCTATAAACAATTAATTTGTTTTTCAATGTAAGAAATTGTGCTACAATCAAATGGACAATAAAGTTAGCAGTGATAATAATCATAGGTATTGTGATAACAAGAACAACAAAACCCCAACACCTTTAATTTAACTTATTTGAATCTGGGTTCTGAATATAAAGTGCTACATTTTCTTCAAAGTCAAAACAGTATCAAGAATTAGGAAGCACACTATTTATGTATTCTTGATGAGAATATTCTGAGCTATTCTTTGTGTGTTTTTTTCCACAGACCTTCATTGTGTTGAATAGAGGGAAGACAATTTTCCGATTCAGTGCCACATCTGCCTTGTACATTTTAACCCCTTTTAATCCTCTCAGAAAAATTGCTATTAAAATTTTGGTACATTCATATCCTTTTCCAGCTGAATGTCACAAATGAAAGTTCAATTGTTTTTCCAATATTATTTTGAAAAATAATTACTATCTTTACCCCTAAGGTCAGAAATGAAAGTCTTTTAAAGGCATGTTTTGAACAGTAGTTTAGAATAAACTGGGTTAAAGCTCCTGGTCAAATATTTTTCTCTCTCTCATGATATTTAGATTACAAATCTAAATGTTTGGCATTGTTTAAATGCTTAATAGTACCATAGTATTTTTTCTATTAATTGTACTAATGCATTCTATGTTTGCTCATGTCATTAAAAGGAAAGAATACTGTTGGAATAATTACGTATCTCAGGAGACATGAAATGTATCATCTGCACCAGATGGCATAAGGAGCATAACATAGTCACAAAAGGGAAATTGGGGTGGGGGGGATGAAGAAGGATGAATGTTTTGAGGGGAATGAGGAGGGGAAACTCAGTGTTTGGATTCTTCTTTTTAATGGGTATCTATTGTCTTGGCTATATAAAGAATAATTAGTTTTGTGAATAACTTTTATTCAGAAAGTTAAATAAAGTGATGAAGTTGTAATTAGAAAAACTATAACTCAGTGACATTATGGCCTTGGCAATTTGATGCTAAATTGACATCATTTAGAATGTAGTAGAGGCTTGTTGAATAAAATATCACAAATGCTACTGAGATATCAGTGCAACAAATATATGGCTGGTTCATATAATCCAATTCTCCAGTACAAGGAAAATACTCAGCTAAGGGCAGCAGATTGTGCTGGCATATAGAGTCTCCTTGCTATTATTGGCTGATATGTAGCCACATGGTCTGTGACAATCTGCCTATGATAGTTCTCTTAATACAAAGCATGTGCTGCTTTGTATTTAGTGTCTTTGCGGGATTCACTTTGTTTCAGAGAAAATAAGGATGGCTTATAATAATAAATATTAATAATAAACAAATAATAATAAAAGGCCCATCATTCCTTAACTTGAGTTTTACATTGTTCAGCATGCTTATTATGTGCACTATTTTGACCAACTGTGTATTTATGACCATGAGTAATCCTCCAGAATGGACGAAGAATGTAGAGTAAGTCAAACTCTTTTAAAATCTATATAAGCTGTCGTTGTTTTTATGTATTTTCAATTGCAGATTTTAATGAGCAGCCTCCTTTACTCTAAATTGGTTTGTAAATGAAGTTATAGCAATAGCACTTTGACTTTTTAAATCTAATTTTATATTTATAGTTCAATATAATTATATTTGATTATGATTAGTTTATAAATAAAGTGATAAATGTGTGACTTTGGATTTATATCCTTCCTTGAAACTCCAAATGGCAGACTTTGGTTTCCTCAAAAAACATGCTTCTAGTGATTGAAGGTAAGCCTAGACAGTCATAGACAAGCTGACCTTCAGACAATTAGAAACCATACTAAGAGTCTACAGAGCAGAACAAGTATCATGGATTGCATACCTGATATGACTTCAACACTTTCATTCCAGCTACAGTTGCGGTGCATCCGCATATACACATTTGCTCTTACTTTGGAGTTAAAAAAAATACAGCAAATAGATTTACTGTCCCAGGTGGCTATCCAACAAATCAGCTTTTTAAAAAACGCTATTTCCATAACTTGGGCCTGCAAATTATTTTTAAGAGGCCATATAGTGGCTTGTTAATTCCATGAATAACATCAATCCTAGTTAGATCCTCAGACCAGCATTAGTTTCCACAAACCTGCCCCTTTTATGATTAAAGTTGCTGAGATTATGGCAGTGATAACCTCCTTCCCTTACAGCTTGACTGCATTCTTTTTTTACTGCATTCGATTTTCCTTTCCTTTGGCCATCCTCTCCTTTGTAGTAGTTAACCATTCATTTTTGTTTGGCCCACCTCATTTATACTACTACTTTGGGGGCATTCAAATGATGCCTTAATGCTCATTGTGGCCCATCTTTTTTAAGAGCTGAGTAATCACGCTTCTCCTTTTGTGCTCACAATCCCTGCCTATTCAGCAGAATGTATGCATTGCTGTGCATATTCAAAAACAGCTTAAGGAGACAAGAGGAAAGGAGGTTGTAGAGTCAGAGTGGAAAAAGGAAAAGAAAAACTGAATTAGTTACAATGGATCTTGTAACAAAGGTCCCCAAAATGCCTCATACTTTCTTCAGAACTTCGGCCAACTTACTACAGCATACTCTTTTTTTAAGGTCCTTTATTTCCACCCCTTTTTGTAGTCTCCTGAAAGTGCCACAATCAAACATTCATTATTTTAACGTTCATTATTTCTTTCCACCCCAAAACAGAAACAAAAGCAAAACTAGACCAAATCCCATGCTTCTGGAAAGTTCCGGGGCTGAAGCCATTGCTTTTCTGCCCATGTAAAAGTCAGGCTGGCTCTCTCTGGGTTGATTTTCCTCTCTCCATGTTTGTAAAGAGAGCTTTCTTCAGATAATCTTCCCCTAATTTGATTCTTGTTGGATCTTGTATCCTATTTCTATTTTTGCAGTATTGTATTTTTAATTTTTATGTAGGATTGTTTTATATTGTGAGTCGCTGACAGTTGTTTTTGACTGGGGTGGAAAGCGCATATGTTTCATAAATAAATTATTTATGCAAATCTGAGGTTCCCCCACTGCCCAGGCACCAGCTCTTGGATGTGGGTGTTCATAAAAATGGACATTCAGAGAATGAGCTATTTATATAGGAATAGCAAGAAAGTTGATTTTCTGATACATGAAACATGTTTGCTTGCTTATGTAAGGCATGTTCACTCCTAAAGGGAAACTGGATTTTTAAAAACTTTTTTCTAGAAACAAGAAGTGAAACTTATAATGTATTTACATATTCAACTTTCTACTATAATATATACTGAGAGGCTGATTTATGTATTTGTCAACACAACCTTAGCTGTGATGTCAGTGGATCATGGACACAGCCATCCAATGTATCTTAAATTATTGTTGCTAGGTCAAAATAAAATACAAAAATATATTAATAAGGTATGTTATCTTCATCTGATCTCACTAGGGAGTTATACTATTGAACATTTGGGGGAGATTATTATATTATATTATATTATATTATATTATATTATATTATATTATATTATATTATATTATATTATTGTATTGTATTGTATTGTATTGTATTGTATTGTATTGTATTGTATTGTATTGTATTGTATAATATTATATTATACTATAT